GATGCGCTACCCTGAGACTGAGGAGACCCTCACGGCTGGTCGCGTAGTCATCCCCGACGACGACGAGCACAAGGCTGAGAACGCCCTGCACGCTTTCGCCAACGGTGCTTGGCTCGGAATCAAGATTGCCGGTACCATTATCACCTCTCTTCTCTGCATCATTGCCCTGGTCGCCTTCATCAACGGCATTCTGACCTGGTTCGGACGATACATCGACATCAACGACCCTACTCTTACTCTCCAGACCATCCTCGGCTACCTCCTCTACCCCGTCTCCTTCCTGCTCGGTGTCTCGCGCACCAACCCTGATAAGGATTCGGGCGACATTCTCGCTGTCGCCAAGCTCATCGCCGAGAAGGTCATCACCGTAAGTCCAATTCTCATTCTCACTGACCTTGATCACGATAATAACACAACCCTTTCTAGAACGAGTACAATGCCTTCACCTCCCTCACCACCTCCGACAAGACCTCCGAGTTCTACGGCCTCACCCCCCGCTCTCAGCTCATCGCCACCTACGCTCTCTGCGGTTTCGGCAACATCGGCTCCCTCGGTATCCAGATCGGTATTCTCAGCCAGCTCGCTCCCTCTCGAGGTGGTGACGTTGCCCGTCTTGCCGTCTCTGCTCTCATCTCCGGTGTCCTGGCCACCCTCACCTCCGCCAGTGTCGCCGGTCTTGTCGTCACCGATCAGCTCTCCGATTTCACCAGAAGCACATAATGATTGGAATATAACGAGATGTGTGTTGTGTTGATTAATTGTAAGAGAAAGAAAGAAAGAAAGAAAAAGATGCTACGTAAAAATCTCAAGTGTCGATGATATGATATGCTATACTATACTATAACAAATACTATACTGATGCCACAAGATGGCACTGATTTCAAGTTCACTTTTTTGTCCAGTGAACTATATTGCATGCCGTGCTACTCACTCTCAGTTGGCTATATTCTCAACATGTGGCCAGTAAGTAAAGAAAAAACATTCACGTAAGAACCAGACCCCGAAACCTCTCCACACTCGCCTGAGGCACAGGCCATTATTGATCATCGTCTTGCATCGGCAATTGACACATCGAACCATGAAAAACATGGCGGGGCATAAAAAATTAAAACATGCAGGGACTCTGGATCTACTAAACGAGACGAGGTGCATCGGCCCACGATGGTGTGATTGACAGATAAGCGGGCGCAATGTCCATGGTCGATCGAGAGAGCCCAATAGATCGGTACACTCTTTGGTGGTATCAGATATTGGTGGTTAACTTCAAGACTAGATAGACACCACTCAATTATGTAATTCAGGTAAAACAAAGGCTCAATTAACTCAGTTGCTAAATGCTTCATGTTCTATATCAATTAGGTATGAATTAAACCGTAATCATCATATCCGTATGCTATTCCTCATTACCTCCTCTCACTCACTCAGCTCATGTATCCTCCTTAGCTGGGTGACTTGACCAGCTTTTTAAACTCCTTGGACGTGCGTCTGCTCGACCCATCCTCTCTATCAGAAGTCTCCTTCTGCTGCTCCTTCTCCTCCTTCTTTTCCTCTTCCTTCTTCTTCTTCTCCATATGCTTGATGGCATCCTGCGTCAACTCCTGCCTGTCGAGCAATTCCCACACATCCTTCTTTCGCGTCTTACGATCGCCTCTGCTGATGAGGAGTCCCGCGGTGACGTTGCAGGTGATACTCACGCAGAGAATGACGGTGGTGATCGCCATGGGTCGCGTATGGTAGTCGATACCCCAGGTACAGGCGCCCAGGGAGATCTGAAGACAGGAGTGGCAGTCGAGGAGGATGACAATGGCGATAAGGTAGCTCTGGGGGAAGGCAAAATGGGTAAATGTCTCGTTGGGTTTGTAGAAACTGTGCGACTTGGCCATCTTCTTCTGGTGGTGCTGCAGGCTCTTGAATTGAGCAAACGTCAAAGCAGGCTGGTCAGATTCGGGACCGTTGGACTTGGCTTGCTCCAGATCTACCGTCTCGGGACTCTCAGGTTGGGGTTCGGGGTGGTTATTAGGGGTTGCTATTGTTCCGTCTCTCTCAGGGTTGTAATCATTAACTTCGAGCAGAACACGGGCTTGGTGGCCAGTAAGGTGCGAGTGTTCGGGGTCGGTGGCAACTCCTGGTGGTACGGTCTTCTTCTGCAGTTTCTTTCTAGGCTTCTTGCCCTCTTCAGCCCTCCGGATCAAGCGCGAGAAACGCCAGATGAAAAACATGTGGTATGTGTCGACGGCACGGAATGGCGCCAGACCATCACCCATGATGGCGAAGAGCGCAACAAGAACACTGTCAATGATGTGAACGGTGTAAAGCTGCTTGTCACCGACGTAGATCCAGCCGATGAGGAAGAGAACCCAGGCCAGACCGAAGAGTGTAATGAGGGTGGCGTAGAGCGTAACGAGGAAGCCCAGAGGTCTTCTGACATACTGCCCGAAACCCTTCATGCGACGCTTGAACCTGGCGCGTCGAGAGTGCAGCATGTGTCTGACGTGATCGTCCAACTCTGCCTTTTCCTCCGGAGTCCATCCTTCTAGGGTAGTTCCGTGGGGAAGCGCGGCGTAGTGAGAATCGGTCAAGCGGGATGTGATGGTGTTGCTTCGCTGAAAAACAGGAGGGTCCTCATTTGCAGCCTCTGGAATGGTGGGTTCTTGGGGTTCTTGAGCGGCTTCGCGACGTCGCTCTTCGGCCACGGCGCCTCTTGCCCAGTCAGCTTGGGGGTCGTTGCGGGATAGAGTGTATGTTGGTCGACGGTTGATCCATTTGCCGAGATCGGGGACGAAGAGGGAGTTTTGGACGTTGGTAAGAGTCGAGAGGGTCTGGACTTCAGGGTCTGTATCATGTTAGATGGGATATTGCGGGGCTGTTATGGTGTTGCTTACCAATGACATCTAGCCAGTCCACCAACTCCTGGTCATATTCATCGTCTGAAGCGTTATTTCGGTGACCCATAGGTATATCCATCGTGTCTGCGCTGCCTGGTCGTCGATGGTGATGGTTTCCAGGCCAGAAGAAGCGACTAGCTCGCCGGAGTCCATTCATACCACGACGCTGATTCATGGTCTCGTCAGGAGCAGAGGCAGCAGGAGACATGGCGGAAGTATCGTCGTCGTTGAATCCCAACTCAGCCATACTAGGGCGTCCTCCCTCTTCTGTAAGTCGGGGCATAGCAGCCTGCGGCACTCGTCGGGAGTGTCGAGCGAGGGCGGGATTCCCATCGTTGACTCTGGCACGCTCGGGTTGCGAAATGCTGCGCGGCCGGCCATTATCGTCAAAACCTTCGAAATGGTTTGCGTTGATAGAACTGTGGTTGGAGTAGACAGACCCGTTTGAACTTCGACGGATTCGAATGCTAGGTTGACGCGATTGATCGACGGGTCGTCTCCGCGGCGGCGGCTGGGCTTGTTGGTAATATGAAGGTTCTTGGTACGAGGGAAACCCGGAAAGGGAGGTCTGCGATGGAAATCGTGGGAATGATGATAAAGAAGTCTGCGACTGTGCTGAGGGCGCTTGGCTCAGCGGGTTGAAGTAATCGGATGCTGTCTCCTCGACGGGACCGGGACTGGCGGGGACGGGATTCGAAGGGCTCGGCGAGCGACGAGCGTCGGTGTTATTGTTGTTGTAGCCAGGTTGGCCCGTTACCTGAAGATGGCCCGAAGGCTGGTGAGGGTTGTTGGAAGCCATGCCCGGAAAAGATGCATAGTCCAAGAAAAAAGGGAAGGGGAAAAAATGAGGTGAGGATGATGGATGAGGATGTTGCCAGTATTATTAGTTCATCACCACGGGAAGCGGAAAAGTCTTAACGTTAACAAGCAGAAACAGGTTAAGCAGCGACAATAAAAGACAGGTTAGGCCTAGTCCCAGGTCCGATCAGCCGCCTTTTGCAGCGTCAGTAGCCACTGAAACCAAGATTACCGCCCCCTACCCGGGGCCTCAGCGAACGTCTCTAGCCTGTCAACCACTAAACCTCGCTGGGGGATACCCTGGCCTCCTACGTAGTTTAGACGATCTGGTCGCGGACCAAGTGGGTCACGCTACGTCACACGCCGCGTTCTTATGGCCAGCGCAATCTCCAGACCCATTGAAGCCACTCAAAAGGGTTGGCGCCCAGACAAACCGTGAGAGCCGGGATATCCGCCACGATTGAGATTTTACTGATCCTTTGATGATACTCCCGTATTTCCGTGGCAGCGGCAGTGGCAGTGGTGCTTGTTTGAATATAATGACGGATGCTGTCATGCTCGATATCGCCGAAGCGACTCATTTACCCTTCTCATCCCGAACAAACAAAACAAAATCTCCATTAAATAAAATTGTCCCGCTAATATCCACCCGCCAACGCCACACAGGCTTTATTCGAAATTAGAGGCTGCAGCCATTACATCACATCCCCAACTTCTCCAGGGAGCGCCCGTTTCACCCACTCGCGTGTCTTTTCCACTCACAAGTCCTAAACACAGCTTGGCCCTATTCCTCCCGCTCAATGCTCTCTCGGCTTCTGCATCTAGTTACTAAATCAGGGTTTTTCTTAAATCTAAGCTTATACACGTAGTGCAGCACGGGTACACGTCGTTGAAAAACGTAAGCATTTCCATGTCCGAGTGTCTCACCCTATACCGGGTTTTAATCGGGATGTGTATTCGTCACTAAACAGATTGAGCATTGTTGAGTGACGTGATTTAATGGATTTATAGACAGCAAGTCCTTTGTCATATTATAAACATGTCTAAGAATCGATTGGTGCATGTACGTTAGTTGTTCCGCTTGGAATGTAACTATTGCAGAGCCGCGCATGATCCAAGGGAAATATTCAATGTCAGGAGATTGCTTACAGAGTGCCACTGGTTATTGTGGACATCACAAAAGCAGCGACAAATACAAAAATTGAATAACCATGAGAATAATTAGAACATCTACTACACTGTACCTCTCAACAACATTCAATCCTCTGATAACCAACAGAGGATATTATAAATACACAAAAACAATACAAAAATAGATGGACTCACGGGGAATTGAACCCCGGACCTTTCCCAAGCATGTTTCAAAGATGCGAAGGGAAAATCATACCCCTAGACCATAAGCCCTATCATTGGTTGGTTGCAAGAATAATGTTTTAATTGCGTACAAGTATTGCTATGCCGTGTCTCGTCATTGTCCTTTGACCTCCTCCACATCCTTTCTGAGCAACTAACGCTAGTCATTCTCACGCTTTTCCTGAGTAAATGCAAGTCATTCTTTCATTGGCTGTGCCGTAACGAACTGTGATGTACAAGACGCGCTCAGTGGATTACTTATACGAACTTGAAGCTACTGTCATCTGATGGTCCCTTTAGTAAGTGCTTATGTGACTCGACTCTATTGACGTCAATTCGAGAGCCGAATTGGATAAACTGTTCGTGCAACGGTTACACATGAGCCCCGTTCATCTGAACCCGGTTCGATGAGACAAACAGCCGCTGGAGTAAATCGAGTGTCTGGTAAAACTCCTACCGCACCATTACTGCCTTTCTCCGTTATGTCTTCTTAGATAAACATAGCATACTCTCAACCATACTTCTATCCCGACGTTACACCCACCAACTCTCCCCGTTCTCCGAAGCGTTACATCTCGGCAACGTCCAAGCGTGGTGGCTTATCTTCTTTACCACACCACACCACCCCACTGACAGGTCATAGCACTCGACAACCCTCAAAAAAGACAATTGTCGCCATTGACAAAAAACATGGACTCACGGGGAATTGAACCCCGGACCTTTCCCATGCTCTTTCTTCCGACGATGTCGAATTGAAGATGCGAAGGGAAAATCATACCCCTAGACCATAAGCCCGATGATTATGCAAGGTTTTTCTGAAATTTCTTCATAAACCACTCGTGAACTGTCGTGGGGTGGATTTGGTGTTAAACTCTGAGGGGATATCACCAAGTTTAGAGCGTCAATGGCATTCTGCTATGTCCATATCACATGTCGAAATAAAAGGCGTTTAATTACAGGTCAAAAACAGGTTTATTACTTTATCGACCGCTTATTCTCCAATCTGTTCTGTCGTACTCTGTTTTGACGCATCAAAGCCAGTAAGCTATCCAACCTCACATGACATATCCAAACCTCCAATTTTAGCCGTAACATCGCTAAGATCTATGGATATTCTTATTTCCTGCTGTATATTGTATCAATGAAACGGAAGTAAATTTTTCTAAACCTTTATCTCGGGTATTGCACTAGGCAAATGCACCGTCCTGCCGTGGCAGGCAGCAAGAATACTCACCCCACGCAGGCAAATAGGCTGATCATCATTCACTTCAAAAGCCGTCAGGTTGACAGCTGGGGACGATTGGAGTCAAAGGTTGACTTTATAAGTACCATGCTAGCTCACCGTTATAGCCCTTGACGTAAGTAATTTGACGTACATGTCCACATCCACAGTATAGTATGCATCTCTCAAATAAATCATATTTATACCAATACTTCATTAACACCGTCACGCTTAACCCATAGAACTGAAACCAGCAGCAACATCATCATAAGCCTTCTTCAACAACCCAACCATCATATCCATCTCCTCTTCCGTAATAGTCAATGGCGGAGACAAGATGATATGATCTCCCTTGTGCCCATCAGCCGTCCCAGTCCCCGGATACACCGCCAACCCCAACTCAAAAGCCCTCTCCTGCACCCTCACACCGAAACGAATCTTGCTATCAAACGGTGTCTTCGTCTTCTTATCCTGCACAAACTCCATCCCCCAGAACAACCCCCGACCTCTAATATCCCCCACAAATTCAAGATTCTGGAATACATTGATGAGAGACTTGTGTAACCGATCCCCGAGGGTGGCTGAGCGAGACACTAGACCATCTCTCTTGACGATATTCTGAATCGCCAACGCTGCGGCACAACTCACAGGATGAGCTTGATATGTGTGCCCATGGTTGAAACTCGCCGTTCCCTTCTTGAGCGTATCGATGATATGTCTCTGAACAAGCGTCGCAGCAATAGGTGCATATCCTCCTCCCAGACCCTTTCCAGTCGTGACGATATCAGGACGCACATCGCCATCTTTCTCAAAAGCGAAGAACGTCCCGCATCGTCCAACTCCACACATGACTTCATCAAGGATCAGAAGAATGCCGTACTTCCGACAGACCTTTCCCACGCCTTCGAAGTATCCAGGTGGTGGGGTGATGCAACCTGCTGTTGCGCCGCCGACCGTCTCTGCTATAAAAGCGATGATCTTGTCTGGCCCAACAGATTGGAACTCCGCTTCAAGCTCGTCAACCAATCTCTTTGCATACTCCTCTTCCGTTTCTTCGTCTTTTCTCACTCGGTATTCGTACGCGGGGCTAACGTAGCTCACGTTGTCGAGCAAGATTGCGTTTTCATAGGGAGCTCTCCGGGCCAAGTTGCTGCTCACGCTCATAGCACCGATAGTGTTCCCATGATAAGCCTGCCTCCTCGAAACAAAGCGTGTGCGCTGCGGCTGTCCGTTCTCAATATGATACTGCCTAGCGAGCTTCATAGCCGAATCCATAGCCTCACTCCCTGAGCCCACGAGATACGCTCTCGTCAGGTCGAACGGCTCTCCCTCGAGAAGATAATTGGCTAGGTTCTCTGCACTGTCCGTCGTATAGGTCATGGTGTGCACGTATGACACTTTTGAAATCTGCTCGACCATAGCATCGCGAACTTCAGTGTTTCCATGACCGATGATGGCTACAGCAGCGCCGGCGCAACCGTCGAGGATTTTGCGGCCGGAGGAAAGTGTGATCCAAGCACCTGACGCCGAGATGACGGGTTCAGGAGTGTTGAGAAGAGAGCGGTGCATAAGGTGTGGCTCTGAGGCCGAGCATTGAAGGTCGCCCATTGTCGTGAGAGAAGTTGACTGTAACAGATGTTGGTTTGACTGTATTGATTGCTAATGAAGAGTGGAGAGATAGTCATGAAGTGGGAGATTGAAATATATAACTTTATATTACAGCTGAAGGAAAAGGTGGAGGTGTGTAGTCGGCTTGACCCTACAAGTCCCTCGGGTTAGAAAAGGTTCGGGTTTGGACACAACTTTCGGGTTACACCCATACTCGGCTTCAACAGCAACTAACATCCAAACACTATGGTTGAATATACTATCTAGCCTACATTCTCACCCCCAACAGTATCAATACTCGTCGAAAGAAGATGCGGATCATCACAAAAAGACAAAAGCCTCCACCAATCCTCCCCCACAAACTCATTCCCACTCATCGAATCCTCCAGAACAACTAAACCATTTTGCGCCTCCGTCCCTGTCTCTACGTCTCCTGCCACCAACTGATGCAACTTCGAGACATCATCGCCCGCAGAGTTAACAGACGCTGAAGTGAGCGGATCGAATGTCAATCGAGGCATCCCTTGTAATGGCGCTAGGTGAATAGAGTCCTCCAACTCTGGATAATCATAGCGCGAGCGCTTAACCCGTCTCCCTTCACTCACACGCGTCATGATACTCTCCGCCGTATTAAGCACATCGATCCACTCCTCCGCAAGTCTCCAAACCTTGCCAATTCTCACCAGACACGCCATAGTCCTCTCAGCCTGCGCATTCGCCTCCGCGGTTTGAGTTTCCGAAAAGCCCATGAAGTTTGGAAATGCTGAGCCGTAGATACTCCAGAGCGTTGAGGAAAACGCACACAGCCCGGAGAACGGCGTGCGTAAGGGACAGCCTACGTGTTCTAGATCGGTGAGCAGAGATGATATTTGAGTTGCGGCGTCGTAGAGATCGAAGGTGTTTTGGGACCAGAATTCATCGGGGCCTCTTGCTTTTAGAAGAGGTGGCTCGATGGGTCCCCGGGGTTTGACTTCGTCTACGGGACTGAAGGGGATGAATTCTCGACAGAGGAAGAGTATGCTGTAGGCTTGGTTAGTATGCTTCAAGGGGCGAGTATGCTGCTGTTTTACCTGACGTAGTATACTAAGTTGATATACCCAAATCTCTCGGCCTGTCCACGCTGAGCATGCACCGATACCTTGGTGCCAGGGTATTTCATCAACGCATCTTGAGACTCCCTCCATTTGATTAAGCCCTGTTTCATCTTATGCCACTGCGAAGTCTCGTTAAAAGGACATTGTTCCGGCTCCGTCATACCAGGCTGTCGTCTGCCACCCTCCGCAATCCACGTATGAACACTCGACCAGATACGCAGACCCTGGATAAGAAGAACAAGATGGTCATCAGGCCCATAGCGCCGTAGACTGCCATCTAAAGGAGAAGGTTGGGATGCTTGACCAAAGAGAAACTGTGTATCATTGACGGGTAGAGAGAAGTGCATCTCTTCATCAGGAAACATAGCCTGTCGTCTTTTCCCACAGCTTAACAGTCTATCCATCTTAAAGCATGTCCACAAAGTCCTTTTCTCAAGTTCCGAAAGGGTTTCTCTTTTACCACAGCTCGCGAAGCCAGTGCTAAGTAACCCTTGCGCCATTCTCGTGGCCATACCGCAGTGCATCCATGCGTTGAAGCCATCGCCGTCGCCCCAGTTGCAGAGTGACAGGATAAGGAAGGTTTGTATAAGGGCGAGGCTCGGGACGCTCGTTACTCTCTTTTGTGTCTCGCTGGATATGAATAAGATATTTCGGTTATTCGTTTCTGTAGAGTGTGTTTCTATGTATCGATGCGACACTGCGACAATGGCGAGGAGGCGAAGTTTTTGGACGACAGAGAGGTCATCCTCACGATACTCAAGATCATCTGCATGGAGAAATCCAAACTCGGGAAATTGGGCACGGAATAGGTTGATAGAGCTTATAACCTGTGCTCGAGGAGTTTGACTAAAGACTTGATTGACGTCTTGCCAAGTATTCTCCGGCGAGACATTATCAATGCTTTGCGTCTGACTTATACTGACCCGCTGTCTCTTATTCGGTCGCGGTTTGACCTGCGAGCTTTGACCCAGAACAGGACCACTCAGGGTGCATGTTTCAGTACAACCACTCTTTACACAACCTGCACATGGGGGCTGATCATTATGCCTGCATTTGACCTTTGATCTTCTGTATGAGGGTGGTCAGACATTGGGAGTCTTTGCATATCGGACCAATTGGCATTACCTGCATCTGCAGTCACATTAGAATTATATCTTGAGCTATTTCGATATGAGAGTAGAATACCTTTCACACGCTATTGTCGTTCGCATTGTATCGCGTTTCGATATGAGCTGGATGAGTAGTTACAAGGCGGGGGCTTCGGGTTTGCATACCTAAGAAGACGAATCTTCGGGTCTAAACCCGAGTCGGGTTTGGCCAAGTGTAGTCCAAGCTCACGTGCCTGGCCTGTCACTTACACCAAATACTATCAACTATCAAGAATACGCGTATAAACTCGCACTTATCCATGCAAAACATCTCGACCCGCGGGTTCGGATTGACCTTGTTCGCCAAGGCTGTTTCAGGACAAGAATCATCTAAAAATGACACGACCAAATCAGGATTGCGCCTATCGGGGATTTTTGCCATGTTTCATTTACTAGACTATTCAGTACGAATAGAATCTCGAACAAGGCTTCGGCTGGACAGCCCCGAAAGGTTATGAGTTTAATTGACAAGGACGAAGCTAGACATACAGATGCACATCATCAGCGGATATTGTCTTTAACGTTCTGTTCTTCCGCCAATAGAGACCCTGTCAACCTCGTGTAACAGCCCATAGTTCGTTTCCACTTACTCCCCTACTATCCCAGACTATACTATATAGTATGACCTATTCGTCCTGTCTTTTGTTGATGGGACAAGCTTTCTCTGGTAGACGCTCTCGTTCTTTGCTCTCACTTATTCCAGACCTTACACTCATTTACTAT